GAGGGAGAGGGGGGAGGAGGTCGGAGAAAGTAGGACAGAGGCAGTCGAAGGGAGGAGAAATGGTGAGCATTAGCATCAGGTTCTGGGACCCAGCCAGGCGGGGCGTAAACCAGGAGCGTAGAAGGCCACAATGACGATGTAAAGCCCCCGCCCGAGGAACGGGCGTGGACCGTTCTCGGGGTAAGAACCGTCGAAAAGCCAGCCGCGGTTTGGATTCGAAGGGGCAGTCGTAACTGAAGCTTTGCAATCTCGTAACTATCGACATCCAGCTAAGTAGCGCGCGAGCTGCGGTCAACCTCGCACGTTGGGGATGCACGAATCGGATACGAGACCTCCTAGAATCTTGTCAAACAGTGTCTGCACATCTCAGTCGACACACTTATATCATTCACGCAGCGTCTACTCCGAAGCCCGAAGTCCGCCCCACGTCTGGGAATGAGGCTGAAACCGTTCTCCCAGGAACGCTCCAGGTCCTCTGGGGCTAGCGCTTCGTTCGACGCCAGCAGCACAGCTAACGCGACACCTGAGAGCACTCCTCTGATTGGAAGTCAGCGAAGCTCTAAGATCGAGCCGCAAACGCTTCCGACTGACAACCAACTGTACGCTCGGAGTGCCCGTGCGACGTGCTCGGCCGTGATCCCGGAAATGACCTCGGCCCCCACGGCAGCCCTCGTTACGACGCGCCGGCCTCTTTTCACCAGCACGGCGCACGAAGGAACCGCCAGGGGAGTTCTAGACAAAAGACAAACCATACCGTGATTATCCGGTTGGCCTGGCATTGCTTGTATGCCTGATCCGCGTCAGCGGTAATTCAGGAAAACGCGCGTGAGTGAAGCACCGCACCTCCTGCAGTTGTCGAGTAGGGGATCGACTACATAATTTATGTGCCCCAGAATTGTTTGTTTGTCGAATCTTCGGAAAATGCGTAGCATGCCTACGAACATGATAAGTGCTTTTTGTATTTTGGACGACAGAGTCGATGGGTGGTGACTCAACTCTGTAGTCGATCTCCTACTCGAAGTTGCACGCGACACCTTTGGGCAGTTCCCGCGGATGCGGGCCATTCCCCGGGCCAGCACGCCGGAGGAACGTACGAACAGCGCGCGAGACCATTTGGACCCCCCGCCAGACCCTGGAGAGCCCGAGGTGTCGATGACACGTCGCAAGCAACAAGTGGGTTGGCTTGCTGCACTTACGGGCCCCTTCTGGGGTAAAGCATGCGGACTTCACGAGGGGAAAGAGCCTGGCTGTCCAAGCTTACGTCCACGCCCGACCTGGTCCGCCAATGCCACAACCAAGCCGGGAGGGCGCACGTCTCGCGGTCGATCAGCCACACGGCCGTGTCTGCTCGGTAAGGTCGTGGCGGTAGGACCACTGCAGATGTTGCATCGCGCTCTGAAGGAGGTATCTCGCCAGATCTGGGCCTTTGCAGGCCCGCGGGCGGCTTTGATAGTTGTCGTCGGCAGTGAACGCCTCAGACGTTTGAGAGGGGAGGGGAGGGGTGGAGGGGTGGAGGGAGGGAGGGGAGGGAGGGGAGGGCTCCGGGGTGCGTTCTGGCGAGACTCGGGGCGCATCCGGCGTGGCGACGAGGGCCTCCCGGGAGGCGCGGGGAGGGGAAAGCGAGGGATGGGGCAGCGGGGAGGGAGCGGAGGGAGGGAGGGAGGGGTGGGAGGGGGGGGAGGGGAGGGGAGGGGAGGGAGGGGTGGGAGGGAGGGAGGGGCGGAGGGGCGGGTGGAGGGGGCGCCTCGGCGGCCTGGATGTGCACAGGCGGCACGGCGCTGCGCCTCCGAGGGGCGCGCCGCCCGGGCGGCGCGCCGGGCGCCCCGCCCCGCCCGAGGCGAGCAGCGGCCAGTACGAGGCGAGGCCGCGCCGCCGCCTCGCGGCCCGCAGGGCGGGCGCGCGAGGCAGGCTCGGCCGGGGCAGCGAGGGAGGTCGGGCGAAGAGAGCTAGTGCACATGCACCGATGCCGGCAAGTAGGGGGCCACATGTGAACCCTACCTCAGAGCGTGAATTCTTTACGCTTCGCGTATCCCCACCAGCCCATCTCACAACAGCAACTCATGCGAAGCATGCCGACAGTCGTGTTTTTCAGGCGTGTGTCCGTTTGGCCCCGCATATCTCCCCTGTTCCTCCTTCCTCCCGCCTCCTTGTACATCCTCCTTGTGGGGGGAGCGGGAGAAGGACGAGGCGGAGGAGGAGGGAGAGAAAGCGCTCCTCGTGATTTGAGTCGTTTGGGGTTTCTCGTCCTGGTGTGAGTCGTTCGGGCCCTTCTTCCTGGTGTGAGTCGTTCGGGCTCTTCGTGGTGTGAGTCGTTCGGGCTCTTCGTCCTGGTGTGAGTCGTTCGGGTTTCTCGTGGTGTGAGTTGTTCGGGCCCCTCATCCTGGTGTGAGTCGTTCGGGCCCCTCCTCCTGGTGTGACTCGTTCGGGCTCCTCGTGGTGTGAGTCGTTCGAGGCGCGCGTCGTGGTGTGAGTCGCTCGGGCTCCTCGTGGTGTGAATGGGTCGGGCGCCTCGTCCTGGTAGGAGTCGTTCGGGGTCCTCCTTCTGGCGTGAGTCGTTCGGGTTCTTCGTGGTATGAGTCGTTCGGGCCCCTCGTCCTGGTGTGAGTCGTTCGGGCTCCTCGTGGGGCCTCTTGGCGGCCTCTTGGAGCCTCTTGGGGCCTCTTGGGGGCCTCTTGGGGGCCTCTTGGGGGCCTCTTGGGGGCCTCCTGGGGCCTCTGGGGGGGGGCCTCTTGGGGGCCTCTTGGGGCCTCTTGGGGGCCTCTTGGGGGCCTCTTGGAGGCCTCTTGGGAGGCTCCTGGGGGCCTCTTGGGGCCATCTTGGGGCCTCTTGCGACCTCCTCAGAAGCGCAACGAAGCGCTGCCCCCTGAGAAGGACAAAATGAGCCCAAAACCCTCGTAAAATCAATGATTTTGCTATGAAGGAAGATGAGCGCGGCCTCCTCGGGAGGCCAACATGGGGCCAAAACCCTCGTAAAAGCAAGGGTTTTGGCTTCACAGAAGAGGAGGGGGCTACAAGAGTGCCCCCCCGTCGGGGCCAGAATCCTCGTGAGGGTCGTCGTTTTTTGGCCCTCCCAGGCGTCGAAAAAGACCCCCCTGATCACCCGCGGAACTCCCTCTCCAGGCCCAGGGGGAGGGGGTAGGGGGAGGGGTAAACCCCTCCCCGAAAGGGAAGAAGGGGGGTTGAGGACAGAGGGGGCTCTCTAAACCACTCACGCCCTAAAGGGCTGGTGGGATTACCTACCCCGCTTTCGCTTCCAGGCAAAACCAAGTCATACCACGCGCCTCCTCGTCAAGCGGCCTGACCAGTACAGGCTGTAGTTTGGCATCGCTTGGTATCTCTTGGAAGCGAGGGTGGTCGAAAGCGAGGTAGGTTTGGTTGCCCCCTACTACCCCTGCCCCCCACGATTTCTGAGGGAGAGGGTGGGGTTCGCTTCGCTCGGTAGCAGGGCCCGTCTTTGACCCAGGATGGGTGCATATACCTTCCTGGCCAGGGTAGCGGGCCTAGGCACCGATCCTGGGCTCCGGACGGGCCTGGCCAGAATCGGTGTATGTGCATAGTTCTCTTTCCTCTAAGAGAGGGAGATCGACGAGGGGATCGGCTACAGAACTGATGTACCCCGAAAGGAAGCTTCTCCCGGCCCTGCGAGCAGTGCGTCAACTGCTCGGTGGATCTGCGGAGCATCCCGCGTGTTTCTCGTAGACTCGACGGGCAGTCAATTTTGGGGTACATCGATTCTGTAGTCGATCTCCTACTCGAACAGAGAGAGAGAGAGAGAAGGAGACGGAGAAACGATGTGGGCAGCGACTGTGCTTGTGTGTGTTTATCAGGGCCCGGCGGGGTCTGCGCGCGTTGGTACTTATATGTGTGAAGGCTAGAAGATGACGGGTATGGTACCACCCGTGATGAGCACCTTCTCATCCGCCTCGAACGGCATTTCATGCTTGCTTTTCTCTTCCTCCTTTTTCCTTTCCCCCCTTCTCGTTCTCCTACTCTTCGTCATCCTGGCCGTCGCGATCGCGATCGCGGTCGTGGTCGTGGTCGTGGTCGTGGTCGTGGTCGTGGTCGTGGTCGTGGTCGTGGTCGTGGTCGTGGTCGTAGTCGTGGTTGTCGTCGTCGTCCTCCTCCTCCTCCTCCTCCTTTCCTCCTCCTCCTCCTCCTCCTCCATCTTCTTCTTCTTCTTCTTCTTCTTCTCCTACTCCTCCTCCTCCTCCTCCTCCTCCTCTTTCCCCTCCTCTTCCTCTGGGACGCCCTGCTGCAGCGGTGGACCACGCCCGGAGTGAGCAGGGGCGAGGAGAGTATCAGGGAGAGCGAGAGCGAGAGAGCGGGACGGGGGCGTGGGAGGGGGGGGGATCGGCGGACCGGGAGGTGGAAGGGGGGAGGGGGGGAACGGGAGGGGCGGGGGGGAGGGGGGGAGGGGGGAACGACACAGGGGTACTAGGCATATGGGGTGATGCATCGACCCCCAATCGCCCATTGATCGCCGATAGGGCCCTTTTATCCCACTCCGCCCATGAACGTGCGGACTTGCAATCGGGGGCCCATCGCCCATCTATTGGCGATGAGTCGCCGATTCCAGGTCGATGTTCTCCCCCATGCCGGTACCCCACGATCGTGTTCCCTCAGGAAGGGGGGGAAGGCAGGGTGAAGAGTGAGGAGCGGGTGGGGTGGGGGTCAGGATGGGGGAGGAACTGGAGGAATGGAGTGGGAGGAAAGGGGAGGAGTGGAGGTGCGGAGGAGGAGGCGGAGGACGAGGGGGAAGGGGGAGGGCGGGGGGGCGGCGCAGGAGGAAGAGGGGCCGCAGGCGCAGGGCGAGGAGAAGGCGGCATGACAATGAGGAGAGCGCGCGCGTGAGAGATGAAGAGAGAAATAGAGAAAGAGAGAGAGAGAGATGGATAGAGAGAAAGAGAGAAAGAGAGAGAGAGAGCTATCACATCGGAGTGGGAGCGGCATTCGCTGTGTGCGTGTGCAGCATCGGGATGATCATTGGTCGTCTCCCCCAG